AGCAGCCCGAAGCTCAGTTGTGTTGACATGTTTGCACTCATTGTGGATGGTAATCTGTTTTTACCGATCTCCCAAATTACTCAGTAATGTAGCTGAGTAGGGTGTGCTTGACGGATGATCTGAGGAGATGGGTCCTTTGACGTTGTGATTAAGAGCGATTAGAACGTCAGCTGGGTTGGTTCAAGTCGTTCATTGAATACAGTTCACAAAGTGAGTGCACAGTACTCAGGTAATCTTGATCTTGACTCCCGGATACGGACTGTTCTTGAAGGTATAAGGACCATGGGGATTCGTGCCAGTTTTGTTATCTGCCTGAGCATTTTTCTGAAGCGAAATGGTGTTGGATTTAGAATAAACGTCTCAATTTCCGTTTTTTATGCATTGCAGCCTCATTTTATATCTACTTACGGAAGCAGTTACGTTAACTGGAATACAGCGACACAAAACTTCAAAAAACAATACCAACCGACGCGGAAGCTACCTACTCCGAAGTGGACTGTTGCCGACTGTCTCACCTGGGTATAATGTTCAGAATTTCCCCCGGCCCATTGTATTCGTCTGTACACCAGCACAAAGTTACACTCGATTCCGTCGTTGTTATATAAAACGAACTAATTTGGCATACGCTTATCTTGGCTTGTCCTTTGCGGCTCGGTCAGACATACGATAAACACGCATCTTAATTAATCTACTTGCAAATCTGCGAGTAGTTCAATTGAACACCACTTGTGGTCAAGCTACCGGGAAAAGCCACGACAGGATCAGCTAGAGCGAAACAGAGCGCTAAGGACATCCACCGAAGCGATTTGTATCAAACTTTAGAACGTGGTTAGAAACCATCACGATCTACAAAAAAATAAACAACATGGTGCCTGAACTCTAGAATCTAACGCAATCAGCCACTTTCTCACACCAGCCAACAGCATCCATCTACTGTAGTTTGCTGACTGTGAAGGTGAGTTAGGTTCCACTGTATTTGTCAACCACGCTTACTAGGTGCTCTGGTGGTTGGTTTAGTTAAGTGGAGGCATCATGGTATTCCTTGTTTAAGCAACCTATACGGATGCAAGGTGGCATGGTCCGGCAGTCTCTAGAAGTTTTTAAAGAGACGGGGGAAATTCACCTACAACTTTTTCCGTCAAGCGAAAAAGCTGGAAATTATGTGACAGAATAAGGAACCTACCAATATCACATAACCTGTTATTGCAATTTGGCAGGCATCGATAGGTAGGCCTGTAGAGGTCGCTCATCAGATCACACGTCACAAACACCAAAACCACGTGACAATTCCTGTTCAGCTTGCAACCTGAGCTGACAACATGTACACTACAAATTCCCATCCATTGTTGTTTACGCGGCTACCATTTGCGTAATGCGCCAGGATTATGAACTTCAACACATCAGGTCAAGTTGTATTTATGTTCGTACGGACATCAAACACGAAGGGAAATCCCTCTCTTCACAATGCACACAATTAATAGGCATACAACTAGGTTCAATACACACACTGGCGCGCACAGGACAGGAGGTCAACAGGTCTCTACGGACAACTACGGAACACGTGTAGCAGCGATACTGCAGAGAAGACACGCCCCGCGTCCGGAACTTGACTCAGGAACTCCCAAGAAGTGCCCTCAAACGATAAGTCACTTTTCGGTTTAATCCACTTTTCGCATTGCATCTTTTTTTATCAAGTGCACCTAACTATTGTATTCATCACATTCTAGTAAGACAGATATTTTCATAAAGGAAACTACTCACAAGGTTGCTGGAAACTCTTCGACAGCCCACGACCGTTTCGCCCTTCTGTCTCGGGCTCATCAATTAGGCGCAGTCCCCGAGTTTCCGTCAACATTATGATCTACTTGAACCCAAATTGCACTGTTTTTGAGAAATACATTCATTTGTAAATCAATTAGGTTTCCACGAGAGACTCAACTGAATCTCTCGTTCATGATATTCTACAACTGAATGTGCTGCACAAAGGCCGCCTCATGTTTCAGTTGGTAGTAGAATCCTTTATGAGAATACACTGCGATATCTCGAATATCGTGCCAACTGAAACATGAGGCGGCCTGTGTGCAACACCTTCAGTTGTAGAATACCATAAACGAGAGATTCACTTGAGTCTCTCGTGAAAACCACATTGATTTGCAAATGGGTGTATTTCTCGAAGACGAATATTTGTTAATGCTTGTTATCTTCGGATAATCAACTTAATTACGTCACAATTAGAGCACCAACAATTGGTGAGCCCTCTCTATTATGGGCTACTCAAAGCCAGGTAATCTCATTCGTACGAGGAATACCGAAGCTTTTTGGAAGCATGAAATTCTGTTGCTCGCTAGGGGACGCACATGAACCCAAGTTTATGTTGGGAAATGAGTCATTTCAAGAAGGCCTGGTGAATGAACGAAGGGAAATCGCAATTCATTATCCTGGTTGAAATGTAGAAGTTAAATCCTGTTAGTATAACTGCCGAGTGTTTTCCACATAATTCCAAAGAAGGAAAATAATTGATTCCGTGTCAGTCAAATAATTGATTTGAAGGAGAACGCGCCTGAATTTGGCTAATATCGCACCCTATACATGACGTTTGTCATTAGACAAAGATCCGGCCCTCAGTGCACGATTGTTTGGTTATGAATCAACGGGGGAATATTTTCTGTCTAATTGACTTCCCAGAAGCTCAAGGCTACACTTCATCGGCAGAAACTCTTTTTGGACTGCAGGATAAAGGGTGTTCGTCGAAACGATACTCTGCATGAACCTATGATCGTCTGATTTTATTGGAAATGCTATCTGGGTTCTATCAAATTGTTGTCAACTGTGGTAATCATAGACGCAAAAATACCAATCACGTGATCCGTGTAGCGAATCACCATTTGGTCGTCACATTGTTTGCAATATCAGTCATAATAATTACCTTTGTTACTTTCCATTCTCTTTCGCACTAATAAGATGACTTTAGTGAACCTTGGAAAATATACTGAAGTCTGTGAGAGCGTAAGCTCCAAACATCACGCTTTGCGTCATTCTGTTCAGACTATCGGGACGCTTGATTAATTGACAAAACCAACTATGTTGACATTTATTCCTTGAGATGTAAACGTACTCGAAGTACGTATTAGATATTTCCGAAATCTGGCTGTTGTACGTGAATCTCGGAGCAATGAGCCCTATTTGGATCAGCTCAGAGTGATATTAATCTTAGTGATAGCAGATAAAGCTGGCTTTTCTACCAAACTCTATCTGACATATTGACACACTGTTGGTACATCCTACCGCCGAATCCCGACATCCTACTCAATTGCACCACGTGGAAAGGCACTTCTAACCAATAAAACTCAATTGCACCACGTGGAAAGGCACTTCTAAACCAATAAAAATCTTCGTCTAAAAGAGTAGTCTTCAGTTTGTGCGATACGTATTAACTGTCATGAGATCAGTGACTTGAGAAGGCTAAAATCTGAAAAACGAATCTTGAGCACAGTTGACTGGATTGAAACTGAGGGTAGGTCGTCGATTGTACTCATAACAGACAAATTCAAAACGAAGAAACCGAAACAGTCAACTCTTCAGCTGATGAATATTTCATCAGCGCACAATGCTGAGTGCCGCAGTTAAGTAGCAATCAGAACATTACACCCCATCCAGATGCATTTCTTAATGTCGATTGAAGATCAATGTAAACGGATGCAAATCGATGTGTTTGCTCTATACCTTATCGACGGAAAAGTCTACATGAACGGGTTTGAAACATACGATAGTCCTACCCCGCATACATTACGAGGACGAATGAACCTAAACCGACAGATTACAAATCGCCCATTCATTCACCTACTCCGTCTTGTGGACTTATTGATTTCTGCTTGTTTTTCTGTGTTGTGCTTTTCGTACCCGCCAAATGACTGTCCCACTCGACACTGGCATGCTTGAACGCGTGTAGGTGTCACTGTACTTACTCAACCATCCACGTTTGTGCTTTGTCTGCTCGGCCGGTCAAGATACTTGTTCGGTCGCTCCACCAGTCGGAAACACAACACCGTTCTCAGGTTGTTTGGGGTTCAAAGGTGAGGGAATATATATATTCCTTTCTAGATAATTTTCAAGTGACCAGCTAATACCGGAACCAAGGAAAAACCTGTACTCTTAAACAAGCGGGCATCGCTAGCGGACACTCGCTGGCGTTACGACTTACCAACAAAAATCGTCTTTCTGTGTCATACACACATTGTAGATAAAACAGCTGTATGATGCTAAGAATCCCTCCCCCCAGCAGTTCAATCTGCTGAACTAATGGACCAGCTCTAGGTAGTGACCTGGGAAATGGGTGTTGCGTGGGAGCTCTCGAATGCTGAAGCACGGGCGGTTTCGTTTATTACTGATATCATGGGGGCGAGATGGCTCATGTGGTTGGAGCGCGAATTTACTGACCGGAAGGTCCGCGGTTCGGACCCGACCTCTACCTCTCGACTTCTCCTGTCTAGGTTTGGGCAACCTGACAGTATCCCAGCCCTCGTGTTCCATTTGGGTGGCATGGCAGCTAGGCACCGAAAGGGTGTTACAGCTGAATGATTATCTTTTAGTATGTTTACATTCCATCATACTCGATTGTTTGGTTGATCGGTCTGGTTGGTTGGCCAGTTGACTCATGCCCGTAAGATAGCAACGTATTTCTTCTTTGTTGAGACAACCCAAGAGACAGATCAGTTTTTGCCTTCGTTGAGGATGTCCATTGTTGAAGATCTTGACAAAAGGCTAAAGCAAGTACTGGGCTCCAAGTGAACGGTTTGTACCTCATGATGACCGGGTCCTTTCTACTTCGTGTTAAGCCATGGTGCTGCGGCTTACATGTTAAGAAGCACTTCTCAAAACATATTTTGGCATGCTAATATATCACTGATTCATATTGAGAGTAAAATGTCGGGGGTGCAATGATTACTGCTGCAAGAGAGACCGCCCAACGGGAGACAAAAAGGTCCAGTGATCTGTGGTTGGCGAAAAGTATTATGGTAGTCTGGTCATCGTTGTAGAGGAGGGTACTTTATAACTGAACCGGATACAAAATCCAAACACAAATACCCTGAAGGTTTATTTCACCTATGGGAAGATTAGCCGATAAGTAATAAGAAAAAATAACCAGAAACAGCAAGAAAGCGTTCTCTGACATAACCCGTCAAGGGTGTGTGTGCGTGTGTGAAAGGTGAAGCACAGAAGTTAATAAGTCAACAAGAACGGTAAAGCGGCCAACGTGGGTCGAACAGCAAGCAACAAAATACGATGAATGAGTCAAGTCTGCTTGAACTTCCAATTGAAGTCCTGTAAGACAGTCTGTACAAATCCACAGAAAAGACGGAAGGTAGGCAAAAATCAGTGGAGTATAGGGAATAATCCGAGAGGGAAGACAAGTTTGGATCACGATGAAGACAAGGGGGCGAAGTGTTCCCGTGATGACCTTCTACAAGGAACAACAGGCGTCATCTGGCTATTTTCTCTGGGAAGATGCGTGGGAATATTGACTGTGGATTCGTAGACCATGACCACGGGTGCTCGATCGCTGATCACACGGGAATCTGCTGGCGAACGTGGCTCAGGTATGACAGCGGTGATGTTAGGCGGGTTTTCACGATGCAAACGTACTGAACTACGTACGAAAGTTCCAAGGGCAGGAGGCTGGGTGGTAACTTCCTTATCCGGATCGTCTTTGTCAGCAGGCTGAATAGTATTGTGAGATAAATCTATCTTCGATAGGTAGTTTGATGCCTCAGAGTCAGTAGATTCGATCGTCGGACAGTTGGTTGGGGAATATTCTTCAATCACCGTGTCATCACTATTAGCAGTTAGGGTATCCAGCTTGGACGTGATATCGGTCAGAGTGGATCCAGAGTTCACGCTACGTGCATCACGAGAGGCCGAACGGGGGCGCAGGGTGACGGCTACATTGACTGAGGATATCGAACTATTTGAAGTGTGTTGTGCCTCGACTGGGTCATACGGTTCAGGCTGGGCTGACGGTTGGGCTTTTTTTGCGACAGTACGCGGGATACGGCGGAAAATAAGCTTTTGAATTTGATTCGAATGTGGATGTAGGTGTCTTGCTCGCTCAAATACGAGGCTACGTGAACGGACCAATGGACCGCGTCTGAAACAAATTTCCGAATGACAAACACAGTATAGGTGAAAACGGATAACGAAGTGAATTCAGAGTACTTAGCAATCAGAGGTCGGTCACGATGTTCAGTCCAGACCTACATGACTAACAAATCGGAACCAATAGCAGTAGCTGAGTGTAAGGTGACAAATGATGAACATGGGATTGAAAGTAAAAACTACAGCAAAGGTACAGTGAGAAGTTCAACGACGTAGGCTTAAAAGCACACCTACTGCATAAACTCAATGAAATAGGTAGAAGCTGAGTTCGGGTGTTCTTGTGCTAAAATTGATAAGAAAAGATAGAATGCTCCCTCTCATGAGAAAATGAACAAGCAAGAAATTTGATCTCAACGAAGTAACACTTAGGAGGACGCAGAACAAGCAGTGTAAGATTGAAGAGTTTGATTTCATTTTTACGGCTACACAAAACAAAAATGGCCCCACTGCTACGCATCCAAAACGAACCAAGAAACGATAGTCAGTTTCTGGTTGACCACAGCTCATCGTTTATCTAAGCAAAGTTTTGCCAGTAAAGCGAGTTTCACTGGGGAACTCTTGAAGGAACCGTTTCCTCTTTCGATAAAAAGATCAATGGGGTTCGTCTTAGTGAAGCAGAGTAGAGACTCCGGAAGATTGAATGCATGCGTTGTAGGACTGCGCACAGTGACAGGAACAAAGGAGCAAATGTTCACGTGCTAAGAAAGAGATGTTTCATGCAAAGCAATAATTCCTCTTCAACCAGAGTCGAATACCTATCGAAAGCTTATCTGAAATGATGAAAAATCCAAAACGTTCTGAACTACTGAGTATTCTTCGAGAAACATTTCTTATGGTTGTCCAAATGAAACCCTGTACAGTGGATTGTAATTGAGGCTTTTGTCAGCTTGTCTGATTCTGGATTCGTTTTGGAAGGAAACTCTAAGCAGGTAGCGTTTCGAAGTATTCCTTGGGAGCACGAGGCAATCAACCGGGAACAATCCATTGCGAGTGCTTCGAAGTTGAGCGGTGATTCGGAAGAACGGCCCGCATGCACTGGTTATTGGTTCGACAGCCATGCATCACCATTAGTGATCTAGACCCATACTTGATCATCCGGAAGCAACCACACTGATGAAAGTGCACTCGTAGTGAAGAAATGTGATCACGTTTGTAATGCGCACGAGAGCACGTGGCAAAACGATTGCTTTCAGCGCTAAAGAAACTCGGGTCTGTTTCGAGAAGATATTTATGCTAAAGTTGTTTGGACCGGATACTTCATGGAACCCCTGTAGTCAACATTATATTGATAGTTTTCCGCAAAATGTGCGATACATGAGCTGTCGTGAAATTCAGTTGTACAGATACACAAAAGGGTTCATTTTGCTCAATGGTATGATGGAATTAGCACTAAAAATATCTTGGTGATGGAAACTCGAGGTAGGTGAAAGGATTACAGTGTGGTGTTGAGTGTACAGGACTCGGCTGGGTCTCCAGCTCCAGTAGTTATAAAGTTCACATGAACCAGATTGCCACTCAAGTCTTAGCCCAGGCTTCGAGAGCTGTGCCTATATGATGAGCTCCAAACTGAACAAAGTTGATATATGATGAGCTCCAAACTGAACAAAGTTGGCAGTGCATGCCTGCGGATTTCGAGCAAGCGTCTCATAATACATATGTCAAACTCGGAGTAACAAATAGGTGGGTAAAACTTCCATATGAGAGCTCATCACCCGAGAAGCAATTCAGCATGTGAGACCAGGTGATTGAAGGATGAGGAACACTGTGTCCTGCTTAAGTGCAAGTTGTTCAAACCGCTGATTAGTCGTTGGTGGTCGAATCGATACGTATTCAGACTACTAGCCGGTAGGTCACGGGTTCGAATCTCTCCTGAGTTTCGTGAGATGCGCCCTGCTGATGATTCCCAAAAAGGACGAAACAGTTGTGTAGTGCTGCTCGGCTTTTCTGTGTAGACTGGCTTTATTTAAAGGACGAAATTCTAAGTAAGAATTGCCAAATCTGACCATAATAATAGAGTCAGGAGATGAAGATGGCCGCTCAAACGAGAATAATGTGGACGTTAGTGGTGCGTCATACTCATGGGAACTCGTGGCTTCATGAATATCCTGTTCAAAACTGTAATTTCATTGTAAAACTTCACGCCATAAATGTGAACGACGGTATGAAAAAACTTTACGAACAGACTTTATGGTCCTTTTTATTACCTCCTAGTTTGGCCAAATGCTCGTAAACACCGAATAGACTAGGTGTGACGCTTGCTTGACGGAAACGTAACGGTGGACAAAGAGGAAACAACGAAATGTGTCCATCTACAACCGACGACTGTATGACATACTCTGTCTAGACTTTCACTGTATTAGAGACCGTCACGAGGCAAAACCATTACAAAGAAGTTTGACTGGAATCCACAGGAGTTTCAGAGTGAGAATACAGATAGAGCATAATGTAACTCTATAGAGGCAAGATACTCCACGAAAAGTTCCACAGCGTCAGGCAAATAATACTTCCGTTATCGGTTAAACAGTGTGGACCTGGAGACAAGGAAAGTGTTTCCTCTATCCGAGCGAGTCGAACAACTAGAGCTATCTTCCAGTACATTCAACACACCGGAAAAGAATACCCCAGTGGGCGACAAGTGATACTGTTTTCATAGTGAGTTCGCCCTTCCTTATCAGGGTTTCAATTCATTCTTGACAGAGTACTGTTGGTGGTTATACATCTATGGACTTACACGACTAAAGATGTGGAGAAAAGAATTGACTCGGGGGCTTACTTGCATTGTACGAGCGAATAGAAAATAGGACTGCTTCCTTTGCAACCGCAAGCAAGCACTGTCGAATGAAGATGATGCGAATACTGCGAATGAATGATGAGGGTTGCGGTTAGCCGAGAAAATGACGCATTGACAAGGTGAGAGATTAGAGGTTCACAGATGTAAGCAGGGTGTCGTTGGGTTGGCCCTCCTGCAGAGAGTTGCATTCCAAGGAATAGGTCGGAAATAAACTGGAGCAAAAAAGGATAATCAGATAATAATGCAGTGTGATAAGCGCATAACACAGCGATGGATGAGCGCAGAGAGGATTGCTAAGGTATACGCAAGTTGTGGGAGAGTAGTGAGAAAGCTTATAGGAGGCGAGGGGAGCACAACTTAAAAGGTTAGTTAGAGAAAGTAAAACAAACCGAACAAAGCTGGACAGGCCGTACAAAAATGCTAGTTGTGCTAGGTTTAAAAAGTGGGAGGGTTTCTGTCGGTCACAGTGTAGCTGGTCCTCCGAGAAGCAATCAACTACGCGTCTGCCCGTGGCGGCTTATCGATGTCAGTGGCGTTTCTGTTGTCAGTTTCTTTCCAGACTGTCTGATTGAGCGGTTGGAGGTGTAGGCACCTTAGAATGCTGGACGAATATTATGGTAGGAAGGCAATGAAGCATACTATCTGAAACACGAAGCGGCCTCTGAGCAGCACATTCAGCTGAAGAATATCACAAACGAGAGACTCATCCGGGTTCCAGGTGAGTTTCCCGTCAAAACCAAATTGGTATGCAAATGAGTGTATTTCCCTAAGTTCGTGCAATTGGTGATCAAGTAGAAAATAAGGTTGACGGAAACTCGGGGACCTTAACAACCTGATGAGTCCCAAGAAGGACCACACTCGTGGTGGACTGTCGAAGAGCTATCAGCAACCTTATGAGTAGTAGATTACGCCCATACAGTGTATCGCGACGTCTCGCCTTCTAATTAAAACATGAAGCGGCCTTTGTGCAGCATATTCAGTTGAAAAACATCATAACCGGGAGGTTCAGTTGGATTCCGCGGAGGCTCCCGTTGAAAACAAATAAGTTCGCAGATGAGTGCAGTTCGTAAAAGGTGTTCATCTAGTTTTATTAGAGGGATACACGACCATCAACACAGAGATATATGTAGCTTGAACGCCTTCACCGTGAACTTGAGGATCATATCTTCAGCAAAATTAGCAGTAAATACGTATGCGTAAAAGCGGAGGCGCTCGAGTAGCTAGGAGGATTGTTAGCCCCGGTTAATAAAAAAGTGTTGATGAATCGACGTTATGTGTAAGGCCAATCCAACTCTTGAGGGTGTGGAAACTTACTGTTTTCGAATCAAACCGGATTCTTTGTTTGAACAGGTTTCCAGAGAGACAGTTCCCAATCGCCGCAACTTTCGCACTTCGTCACTCACAAAGGACGGAAAACTTTCGTCGTCCGAATCACATAGCTGTTTTCGATTGATCCACGCCTCTAGCTCTTGCGTTCGCTTGGCCATAGCATCTAACTGCGTCCGAGAAGAGTCGGCCTGCTTGATTGCCAAATCAGCCTGAGAGAGTGCGTCATCTGCACGCCGTTGTGCCAGCTGCACACGACGAGCTGTCTCATCGTGTGCTTGTTGAGCCTGACGAAGCTGTCGCAAAATCTTTCGATTTTGTTCCTTTTCGGCTTTTTCAGATTCCAGTAAACGATCCCGCTCAAAGGTGATTTTCTCAACTGCCTCTCGAGAGCGATCAAGAGCCGTCTGTAACCGGGATTTACCGACGACCTCTGCTTCCAACCTTTGTTCTAATTCACGAATTTTCGCTTCCAAACGATCCACAGTGACACGTGAATTCTGCCATCAAAGGGGAAACATAGCATTCTATGAAAATCGGAAGGCTATATTGGTAATATGGATCATGAAAAGCCAAGGCGAACAAGGAGCGTCATGCAGAACTTTTTCTAGATACCTTGCAAAAGGCCCCACTCAGAATCACACTTTTTTCAAGGCTGTTTGAAGAGAGCGACTACCCGTATGTTTTGAGAATAATCGGTTGACTTCAGTAATACGCCCCGGGTGTCCATTACCGTCCTTGCCTGAAGTGGGCTACCGTTCGGGAAGCGATTACCAAAACCCTATAGTACATTTTGTGATCGATGGGGTCCAGGTTGTAAGTGAATTTTTTAAACAACATTAGCAAGTGTGCGAACGAATAGTTCACGCCGTCCGGAACGAATGCGTTGGGAAAGCAATACTTTTGCATATTTACAGCTGAGACGCAGTAGTACACGGTGGTAGTCACTCCTAGCCGGCTAGATCAATGCAAACGAGTAGTTTCAAGCAAAACGATAAAAGCAATGGTAGAGGCTCGAAATGTGATTAAAACCAGTCAGTAGTGCATTGTTTCCGGCAGCGTTTCAGCTCCAAGTGAGACTTAACCTTTGGTTTTCAAGTCAATTCAAGCTCAGCCACGAAAGCCTGTTAGTGTGGTGGGCAACAGTAACATGGCAGTTAACTGGCGTATCTGGGTCAGTAGTATAGAGCGTATCCACTGCGTTACTTCTTCATTAGGCGTTCGGCGAGCCAGAAGATTTCTTCGTGTACTGTACCACACTCTGCTTCAATGTCCTAGCGAACCTGCCCTCTGACGACGTTTCAGCCTTCCGTATTCTGATGCAGGCCGACAATGAGGTAACACACCACGGCAGTAGGGTCAACTGAATGTTCAGTAAGCAACAACACGGTAGTCGACTCTAGCAATTGTTACAATGGTTCCGTATCGTTAGCCATGAGCCCGTACTCTTCATGAAGCGGCCTTTGTTCATCATCATCACCATCATCATCATCATCATCAGCGTACTTCATGACAGGTATATCGTCAGCATTCCGATGGCCGGTTGGGACTTATATGAGTGTCACAGTTAAATTTGGCAGCTGGGTGTACGAAAATTGCATGACAGGGGTTTGCTTCATAGTCTTTAGGAGTCTGTATCCGAAGGTCTCAGAATTATTCTATACACTTATTAACCTCGAGACTACGATGCACAGGGTTGATAGCAAAAGACTCCCGTGAATTCATTCTATGGATTTGTGCCCCTGTCAGAATTTGCTCTTACCAGTTCAGCGTCAGCTGGACTCAACTTGGACTGAAGCTCATGGACCTCGGTCCGTAGTTGATCTCGTTCGGCCAGAAGCTCATTGATTTCCCGCGTTTGTTCCCGCAACGTGGTTGCATCCACCTGTCGAGCGGTGACTGCAGCGTGATGTTGTCGCTGTGCTTCTTTGGTGATTTCTTTTTGCTCTTCAACCTGGCCAGCGAGATCGATCACCTCTCGATTCAGTGAGAAAATCTCGTTTTCCAGCTACATGACACAAGAGAAACGGAGAAATTAGGGAGAATGCGGGATAAAAGGGACATGGATGAATGTCCGGAAGAGGACCACTTACTTTTTCCTTGCTTGTTTGGAGACCACTTAGTTGATTTTGCAATTCATCCAGTTGTACCTGCAGAGCACGGTTTTGACGAGTAAGTTTTTCATTGAGTTCTTCCAATTCGTCAACCTGTTTGGTGAACGAGGAAAGAGAGCACAGAGGCACGATGCGAGGTAGTACTGATACAAATCGGTCATGGTGCGGTTGAGTTTTCACTCTGAGCATACTATGCATTTATTCAACACCCCGAACAGCCTGACAATGAATCAATCTAAGACAGAATGTGCGCGCAGTGTACTGATTCCAACCAAGGACACGGAGGAAACCGAGGGTGGAAGAACCACTGTGGGTGAGAATACGGTTGTCGTTGGCAAGCGATGAGCTATGTAGTGATATAGCATGAGTATCAGCTAGACAGTTCTTATTAAAAATTTGGGGCGTAACTTCTGGGTAATGTCGGCGGTTGGCTGGGTCTCTGCACGTAAATAAGCTCTGTGAAGTGGACTTCTTTCTAAGATAGCCAACGTAAGCGAACTCTCTAAGAATTTTTCGGTAAAAAGAAAGAAGGAGCGGAGCATGATTACACAAAACTCGGAATCTTATTAGAATGAAATGTAGAGCGACAGGACCTGAAAAGGGTTGCTTCAGAGAGGTGATCCTGTAGACCGAGCAACAAATCGGGGCTTATTCTAACAGTGTTGAAATTTTAAACTAGGGACAGGTGAGATCAATATTGAGGAAATAAGGTAACAGTCTATAGTTTTCGGACCAGTGTGAGTTGTGTGCTTGTCAGCTTGGTAAGACACTACCTACGAGTTGGTGGAAGCCATCCCTCACCCTTCTTAAAGCGTATCAGGTAGGCGTAATCTCTGAGTTCCCATCAAGGTCATTTCGGCTGATCGCGGAAAACTTACACGATCGCGCAGTTGCTTCGTTGTTCTCGGGTCCGCTGACGGTTGTTGCAACAGCTGTTCTAAGACGGCCTGCTTCTCAGAGAGTAAGTCTTCATACCGCTGCAATTCGGCACGTAACTTGCGTTCTGTAAAAGTGAACAGGTGGGGAATGGATAGGTGGAAATGACTTGTACTCATCGGACTCACTATCCAGTTTTTTCTATCATCGTGTGGTAAGAAAAAATATGGTGTAAGACGAATCCTAACTCACGCATGCGTAGTTCGCTGTAGGTGAAGAACAACATTTCGAGCACACGTATAATCTAGCCTTTGGAAGAACTCAACCATGCTCCAGCTGGGATAATCCGCCCGAAAAGCAGTCTGCCGACCATACAACGAAGTGACAAGACCATGAACTACATTGTTATAGGATTAGCCTGTTGAAAATCTCCAACTTTCCTTATACGAATGTGATAAACCGAATCGTCTGTGAGACGGACAGTTCGTACGCACTCCAAAGAACAATAACTGCATTCGCAGAATTGAATGACGCACCTCAATGCTGTGGCTTTTTGTCGTGATGAATGAGCACTATAAAAAACTCTACATTGTTATAGGATTAGCCTGTTGAAAATCTCCAACTTTCCTTATACGAATGTGATAAACCGAATCGTCTGTGAGACGGACAGTTCGTACGCACTCCAAAGAACAATAACTGCATTCGCAGAATTGAATGACGCACCTCAATGCTGTGGCTTTTTGTCGTGATGAATGAGCACTGATAAAAAACTACTGGGGCGCTGATTCACACAGCGAAGGGGGATATAAGGGAATAAACAGAAACACTGGTAGCTCGGTTAGGTTAGTTAATGGTAGATCAGGTGGCTGTTGATCTGTTCGCCGAGCTGAACGGGGTGGTCTTGCAACATTCGCCTCCATACAAAGCTACTTTTCAAAAACACCGGGCGCAAAGGAGATACATCGTGGGGCTGTCCAGTTTGCACCTGGTTGTCAAGACCAAACAGCTGCAGCTTAGAATGTCAATAGGTCTGAGTAGGCTTGTTCAAAATCACCCTTCAACAGGGAGTTATAACAAAAGCTGATTAAAAATGATCGATTTGCTGAGTATGTGAACCAAGGGGCTGCTTGACGACTTACGCCCAAAGTAGGCCGGCGGTTGCTGACTTGTGGAAACAGCGAGGCTCCTAATCCGAAGGAAGCATTTCCGAAAAGGTTTCTGTTGTAACCAACTACTGTGCCAGGAACTGATAACATTGACCAATAACCAGAAAAGAGACTTATCTTTTCTCTGCAGCCAACCGATGACAAAAAACACCATCCACCACATAAGTCGACGAGGAACGGGAGAGGATCTAGGAGCATTCGTTTTTATACATAATCATTGCCTCCAGAGGTTGTAGTAGTAGCCTTGATAATAGCAGTGAAGCATTCGACTGATCGTCGTTGATTCACTGAGACTGTGTATGGATTGCTTGTTGTGTAGACAGCAAGTGAAAAGCGAGTGACTATCAGTGAGGAACGGACCTAATTTGAAGCATTCGCCGATAATTAAACGGTGTATTGCCAGGATAATGGCAGCTGACGTACTTCGTCTCAAGCTTATTCAATGGTCACCATAAGCGTAGTTAATCTGGAATAGGCATAAAACAGGAGCTCGAGATGTTTGAGTGGTCACAGCGCGAATCTACTGATCGGAAGGTCCGTGGTTCGAATCTAACATCTGCATCTCGACTGCTCCCATTTAGGCCTGGAAAACCTAACAGCATCTCAGCCTCCGCGTTTCCTTCGGATAGCATGGCCGCTGGTCACCGTAAGTGTGGTACAGCTGAACGATTATTATTTATTAATATAGACGTAAAAAAGCACGAACAAAGAGCCGAATCTCTGCCAAGAAAGAGATTATTATCGCACAGGTGAACCGAAAACACTCTAGATGGACCATTTCCTACGTTTCCAAGACGGTTCCCCATGTTGGTTGTTGGTTTGTTCGCTCAGCTGGGTAACTTAGTTGCAAAAGTTTCATCACCAGTGGGTGGAGACGCCTCAAAGCGCTCAGCTAGCATGCAGTTCATATGAGGTCTTATAGTTAACGTAGCGTAAAAATTTCGGTAAATCGAAATAATGAAAATTTTAGAGTGGCCACATGATGGAAGGAGTTTTTTTTGGTATACACCTAGCATGTGAACATGCCCACTGCTGCCAAGTTTAGTGGACATTTCGAGGTGTGTATTTCACCCCTTATATTTGTCCCATCTCAAGTCGCGTACGACATAAAGGCGCATTTCCGTTTCTAATAAAAGCAAACTGAGAATTCCTCAGAGACACTATCAGACACGAACGTTATATCAGAATTAATTCTATCAAATCCCAAAAAACCATGCGCAAATTAAGTAGTATAGGGAACCTTAACTTACGAAAAAAAACTGGAATTCCTCCGGGGTCTTAGTTCGCAAAAAAATTCCACTTCGTGGCGAATATGAGAATGTGTAATCATGGAGAATCTTTTGGGGGTTATACCGTTCGATATGAAGAGCGCCGGGGGCATGCCAGGCATTACCAACCGAGTAAAGCCTCTATTTGATCACTGGGAACTGTTGCTCTAGTGTTATTAGGACTGGACAACACATGAATTCATGATGCAATGACAAAGGAAGCTCACACTGAACACCTGAATTTCGAAGCACTGGTTCGTTAAGCATCTGAAGATACAGTAGACTATTGAATGTTGCATCACTGTCGCTTTACAGAATCTGCAGCCAATCATTGCAGTTGACAGTTGGGTCATTTTCTGAAATCAATCAGCTTGTGTTATCCGAACTTCACTCAGTTTATCAGTTTTGGAACTACAGTCTAACCAAACAACCTTGATATAATTGCTCCTGAAAGCCAATCATTTTTAAGGTAAGCAGTGCGAATTTGGGCGTCTGATTTCCTCAGCCGTGTCAGCAGATTACCCAAACCATGTTTAGTGTATGTGATGTGGGTAGCAGCTTGTCGAACTGCTCACGCGACAGTCTCACCGAGGTGCCTTTGTCTACTAGTTTCAATATCAAAAGTCAATGAAAGTCTCCAATTTCATCAACTTCCAGACCGCTCCACTGAGGGCGGAATTCAGTCTGAACCACCGCATAGAACAATAACGCTTACCAGCTTCATTAGCTGCTGCTTCTTGAACTGATGCCAGACTATNCTTCATTAGTTGCTGCTTCTTGAACTGATGCCAGACTATCTCTAGCTGCCTCAAGGTCATGTTGTAACCGCATACGCTCTTGGGTAGCTTTGCTAGCCTCATTTAACATCGAATCTAACTGTCTCTCCAGTTCTTCGGTCTTGGCCTGATTGAGCTTGCGAAGTGATTCGAACTCCGAGTCTCTTTCCTCCATTATTCTGTAGGACTCAGCCTGGACTCGTTCAAGATCCTGTTCCAAACGACTATGTTCACGTTTAGTGCACGCAATATCTTCTTTGGCCTCTTCCAATTCTGACTGCAGTGTGGCCACTTGGTTTATCAGATCTTGCCGCGACTTCCGCAGTTCGTTCAGTTCAGTTATCAAAGTCGGTGAGTCAGTGCAGTTAGTGGCGTCGAGTTGTGTTCGGGCGTCCAATAGGGCTGTTTCTAGTTCCTTCTGCTTCGCTTTGGATTGGGCCAATTGGGATCGAAGGGACTGAAGAAATAGGAAGAATAGAGAACATGAAATTGGTGACCCAGATAAAAGCAGTAAAGAAGGAAGAACACATCGACAAACTAGTGACCATATATGAATTTGTATGCAGTTATCCAAATCAAAAGCTAATTTCGAAGGCACTAAGTAGAACAGAAGGATGATGGAGGGTGCGCGAGATGATTCAGAAAGGCTGGAAATAAGTCTGTTGACTTGTTCGACCAACCAACAGAAGATATTGTGAGTGAGGTCCCCGTTAGATTTGGACGTGCGGATGAAAAATGAGGTTCATGAGGATCAACCTCGGAACGATAGGGTTAGTCGGAAAAGTGTTGGAATGTACCTGGAGAGGACGGAGTCGATGATCAAATAGACAATTGTTTTTTCCAACTTGCTAGCGTGACAAGGTAGTAACCTCTCACGCTTACAATCTAGCTCTCATCCAGCTTGCCAAACTGCCTGTCAGATCAATGCGAAATCTGAAACAGCTTCTTGCCTCAATGAACCGATACAATTCACGCTCGTGAGCATTTTCGTTTGAAAGGTCGCCCTCCTTTCCTGGCCCAATTGTTCTGCGGAGTCCATACCATAGAGTTCATACAAAGGGGTCGAGTTTCGCTCATTTTTGGGCTCACCAGCAGTTCATATGCTTAACCGTGCCGGAGTGTGAACTTCTGACATCTGACATACGGGGCGAGTGTGTTACAAGTAATTCACCAGCACATGCTAGACGAACCTTAATTTTCGCGTCTGAACTGACGAACAAATCCACATTTGAGCGTCAGTTTTGTGACTCAGAACGTAAATGAAATTATGCCAGCGGTGAACGGAGACAGTGCGACAAATAGGTCAGTGAACGAACTAGCACGCAGAGAACAAAGACTAAGCACGTGTGTAGTGGGTAAATTTTGATTAAGTCCACAGACGCAGCACACTCATCCGATAAGATTGACTCACATTCACTTCGTTTTCTAACGCAGCGACAGACTGGGAATCACCAGTACCCCTAAGATATTGGCTGTCAATTACAAGCGGTGGTTGTTGAGTCCGTCCGACCTCGAAAATCGCAGCGTCTGCACGTTGCTTGGCCTCCAGTGCGCGGTTCTCAGCGTCGTGACATTGCCCATGCAATTTGTCGACCTCAGAGTGTGCCTCGAACAATCGATTGTTGAGACGCTCGATTTCGGCATAGCTTTCCATCAGCGCCTGGTTTGTTTGTTCAACCTAAAGCATGTGACACAACATGAAATGAAGCTAATTAAGCAAAGGACGGTAACAATCCAACTAATTTCTGAGTCAGGTTAGCAGGAGACGAGAAAGTTACACATGCTGAAATGGTGCATTGATCTGAATAAAGAAGGCTAGGTGAATAAGACAAGAGAGGAATGATATTTCCGCTTGAGCGGGATACATACGTTGTGGTAAGTAGAAAGTACTCGATCGAAGTGAACAGAAATTCAACGCCAGAACAACTGACTCCAAAATATCAACGTGTTGGGTGGAGAGATGCTGTTTTGTTCCCCATGTTTGTGGATGTAGGTTCAGCCTCTTTGGTCCAACAGGAGAGCAGTTGGTAGACGAAATCCAGAACAAACGCATTTCGACTGTAGTTCAGTCCTCTGGGTAGAGGATGAATAACCGCGCAGTTGCTCCATTGGAACTTCATGAATCTTCACTGGGATTCGAACCAGCGACCTTCTGGTTGGTAGCTGAACACTATACAATCGGGTGATGAATGACTAACCAGCCGCAACTAGCCTTCATTCACGTAGAGTGTAATGATCACTAACGCAGTCATGCAGCTTACAGTAAGTAAACTAGTGTTGTTTGTAAAGGAAACTACCCACAACTTTGCTGAAAACTCTTCGACAGCCCACGACCGGTTTCGCCCTTCTTAGGGCTCATCAAATAGGCACAGTCCCCGAGTTTCTATCAACCTTATGAGCTGCTTGAACCCAAATTGCACCGTTTTCGAGAAATACACTCGTTTGCAAATCAATCTGGTCTTCACGAGAGACCCAACTGAATCTCTCGTTTATGGTATTCTACAACTGAAAGTGCTGCACACAGGCCAACTGAAACATGAGGCGGCCTGTGTGCAGCACTTTCAGTTGTAGAATATCATAGTGTTTGGTTTTTTGGGTGATGACTCCTCAGAGGGAATGACCATGAGACCCACGAAATGTTCGGGATGGAAGAAACCATTGTACTTTTGCGCTTCGAAACCTACGCTCGACCGAATCAACTACTTGAAGTTAGAATTTTCGGTGAATACCATTGCAGTTTGATGGTAAGCCGTACGACCTCGCGGGCACACTCAACCTTGTTGGCCCCAAACTATGATATTCTCCACGTGAAAAACCGGTCCTATAAGTGGTTAAAAGTTAAGAGGGTCTGCACCAAGTATTTGATGCAGTATGTTGGATCAAGGGCCACAGCCAAACAAAATAATTTTACGCCCGTACTGCTGAACGGCGCACGAGTTTACGTCGTATCTGAACGAATTCCAGAACACAATGCTGTGAAATTCTCATGGAGATTAGCCAATTGGATTACCGGCGAAAAATGCATCGAGAACGATTCTGTGAATTGCAAAGTGACATCTTATTCGATCAGAGAGGAGGCCGTTCAAAACCTATGAAAAGTGAGTTGTTTATGCTGAGACACCATGTGAAAACAATGTAAACTGCTGGAAAAGTTACCCAGGCCTTGAAAGTGAGTGAACGACTGATACGTAGAGATTACATGTCGGCTGATTACCGCTGTTCCAAACAGAACAGGTCAGTGAAGAACCACTATAGTTGACGCATTTCGGTGAGGAATTCACACGTGAATAATCGTTACCACGATAACAGACTCTTTATAAGCTCAAGCAATGATACACTGAAAAGGTAGATGATAAGGTAGATAAAAATTGCCTTGTTTATATTGAATGGCACTTGTCCCTGTGATTTCCTATCATCATTAGGTATTTTTCAAATGAACAGATGAGCAAACTTCGTGGATTTCGTAGATCAGGTTTAGCTAAGAAAATCTATTGAGGTGGACAATAGTGCGCCAGAACGACCCAGTCTGTTATCTGAGATAAATTTGAGTTTGAGTTCGGTTACCAAAGAAGTAAGCAAACGTGATTAGTGTTCGGTATCAATAATAAATCAAGAGATTAACCTCTATCACAGGCCACAACTCGTAAGGTCTGGACCATTCACTACCTGTTTCACCATTCTTGAGGATTATCAGGTGGGCCTAATTCCAGAAGTTTGAAGCTAAATTTCACTCTAATAGCGATAAATACCTGTTTGCAAATTAGGTTTATCTCAATGAGAGACCGGAATCAAATTTGTCGAAATCCCAGTTAAGACCAACGTAGTTTGAAAATGAAGCTGATAGCCATCTACGTACAATTTGGTGTTCAAGTGCGCAATATGATAGGCGGAAATCCGAGACATAGGCTTACCCGATAAGCCCCAAGAACAGTGGAACATATGATGGTCTTATATGTAGGGAATTATGTTGACATCGTGCATTTCAGATGTAACAAGTTCAGTCGGAGAAAATTACTAACAAGGGACTCAGCTGTGATTCGCTCGAGGAGGCATGGACCATATGTTTACCTTGATACAAATTCCTGAACAGCGCCACTCCTTCAAACGGCCCACGTTGGTCGAATTTCTTGATTCGAAGGCTGTTTCTGATTCTGTCGATCACCAGAAACTCTGGAACTGTCTAGCGACCAAACTTATGTTCCTTATGAGCGCACCGTACACAAGCTTCTGTGGACGCGTACGAGTATACGGTAGGCTTTCGTGTAAGACCATCACATCCCCTTTCCTCTTCATCTTTGTTATTGATATGATGCTTGAAATTTCTCTGCCTGCCTCTGGAACCTCAGGAGTTGAAATACCCCCGGGACCTTCTCTCACAGACACTGAGTATGCGCACGATATTGTTCGCCTCTGTTCGGATCCTTCTCAAATGCAAACGATTTTAAATAACGTAAATAACTCTGTCGCACGATTTTGCATGCACTTCACACCTGCAAAGTGTGAAGTGCTTGTACAAGACTGGGTTGGATCAAAACCACACCCCATGCCTGCGGCGAGCCAATCGACATGGTAGATAAAATTGTTTCCCTGGGTAGCTGGCTGAAGATTAGATTAAATCGGAAAGGCCAGAGTAGCTTTGGCCAAACTTCGACACCTATGGTGCCGATTTGAAGTTTGTTTGTTTGTTTGTCAAGGGCAGGATCACGGCATAAGACAGAAACGTGGCCTCTGCGCGCAGAGAACGTACGGCAGATGTCGGTGTTTGATAATCGGTGCCTCCGAAGCATTGATCGGGAATGTTGAGACACGCCGGATGATCCTAGAAAGAAGGAACTCTCCCGCGAAATAGGAATTAATCAGGCTTCACAAGTTACGCTGGTTAGGTCATGAACTTTGCCTGTCAGAAGGCCGTCTGTCTCAAAGAGCTCCTTTCGTCCAGCCCTGTGTTGAGTAGTAGCGACCGAGAGGTGGACAATGTACAATATTGCAACGACCGTTCAGCTGTAGCAACCTTTCGGTGCCTAGCTGCCATGCCACACAAAGGAGGCACGAGGGCTGGGATAATGCCAGGTCGCCCCTGCCTAGACAGGGAAAGTTGAAAGGCAGAGGTCGGAACCACGCCACGCCCCTTCCGGTCAGTAAATTCACGCTCTAACCACTCGGTCCATCTCGCCCCTGACAACGAAGTGTGAAAACACTAATCAACAGACTTGGGTCGGTGACTGCCTCCTCCTTGGATGGGGACCCCGAGACTCAACCCACCAATGGTTAATGACGTTGGCAGAAATGGCCCAATCGCGCAATCAGTGGCACCCGTGCATAGAAGCTATCGCCTTCAATGCGTAGCTACCCAATTCCCGAACTAAATGAACATGCCATTCCCTCCAAGGTTTGGCTGTATGTCTCACAATGTTCCGTTTTCCGGTGACCGAAAGTGTAGCAGGTAAAACTAATGTGCCTCTGATACACGGTTTGTAGCTGATGAATCGAATTGAATTAATTGAGGTTGGGTTTCTCATTATCAACAAATAAGTGTTCATCGCCAGAGGAGAATACTCTCTCCCTCTCTGCAAGATAATCTATCCTAATAGTTTGGTGCTTTTGGTTCCGAACATGTGCAAATATCATTGGAGACAGTGATCTGGTGGGCTTGGTGTGGTGGATTTCCTAGTACTCCCAGTGTTAAACGCAACCATACATGCAAGCAAATCACTGTTACTTATACGGGTGGATTAGTACATAGGGAGTCACTCACTTTGGAAGCCATTTCGATATAGTGCTGCGCATCAAACGAACCGTTTACATTCATATTTTGCCGCTGTTTGGGACTTGGTAAACCCGTCTCAGTGGTTTCTGGTAAATTAAAGGGGATAACAGAATATGCGTATTTTGTCAGCATGTAACGTGAATCAGGGAGTGCGATTCACCCTCAAGTGGATGATCTTTTTCAGTCTACTTTGATGCAAAGTACGCCATTCATTTAGATCTCAAAAGGAGTTTCGTTGAAAGGTCCATATATATATATATATATANGAGAGAGAGAAAGAAAGGAAGATCATACAGATAGGCCATTTTTCACGCATCGTACAAGAGGCCCGCTGGCCGATAATTCCCGGTATTCGATGCTCAAATACGAACAGTCAAGATGTCCAGAACGGACATTAAATAGAATCAGGGCCACGTGTCCCATCTTCTGGACTAGAGTAAGGATCGCGTGGACTTTCTTGGGGGGAAAATTGTAGTGTGAAACATGACATCAGGCCTAGTGTGTATAAACCTTTCGGAGACATGACAAAGCCTAAGTTAGTCGGAGGTAGAACGAGTCTGAGTTCAAAAAATGATACAAATGGTTAAATGAGTATGCAAACACGGATGCGTTCATTGTGTTTCCGACAGTGAAATTGATAGCAACAGCTGAAAAACTTGTGAGATACAGCCTTGCAAAACTCATCTGTTAAAATGGTTTGCCATCTCTTCTGAAGAGTCCACAACAACGTTTTCGTCTTGGTGAATAACGTTTTTCGAGAGGGTAGCCCTCAAAAAATAACTGGTCCATGAGGCCAAACCTGTTCCTTCCCAATGGTAACCTCTCACAGAGGAGAGTGCAATGTCTTACGGGCTGTTTGGAGAATGGCTGCCTACTAAGACAGACGAGACGTTGTGCTCCCGAAAATCGATCAAAAAGGTCTCGTCTCACCCCTGTGTTTTTACAAGATTACAGATGGCATTGTGCACTGCTCTTGGCATACTTAAGCGAATGTTCACTGTCCGACTGGCACAGCGGCACTTGGGGTCGATTGATCTTTGTCTGAAGTATTGATTAGAATAAAGCCTTGGAAACTGGATAATCCAGACTCGAGTTCGTCTAAAGGACGGTTTTCCAAATCCGTAAGAGTACTGGCCAAAAGTGTCTCCATTCTGTTGAGCAATTGTTTCACTATAGATTCTGTGTGGCTCGATTTCCGTGGCGGCCTCTCTTTGTGAAGTCTGCACACCATCGATGTCATTCTGACGCGCTAGGTGACGACAAAAAAGGATATTTAAGGCGGATATAGTCAACATTAGCGGTTACCTTTAAAATTGCTTGGGGCCGTGACTTGAGGACTTGAAACGAGGACTATCTTCGAATCAGCATCTTGCCTGTTCGACATTACATTCGTTGTCAATTCCTCACGATCCTAAGGAAAAAACGACGGCAAAAATACGGGGCGTACAAATACGGCCTGAGCTAACCTGAATCAAAATTTTATTTGAACTTCTTGCCATCAAGGATGTACTGTCTGCAAAAAACTTACTGGACTATTGACAAGACCTACTAGGAAACTGACTGTGTTTACAAGCATACCAGCTAAAGGTACCGGCGTAAGTGGACAAACAGCGTGACAATGTTGTAGGATGACCCTAAGGTACTGTTCCATGGGACGGGTTTTTGAGTTCCTCCCAGTTCGCCCGAGAACGTGCGTAAATGACTTCGTCACACTATTAACGAACGCGCGAATGGAAGTTGGACCGATACCAACCCATCCTCATCTCAGGATGGACAGTACTTTAGTTTATGGGTCACAGATATTTAGGCGTTTGTACATTCGGTAGCCCGTGGAATATCGATTCAGTAACACGACTCCAAGCTGGCCAGAGCACATACTTCACGAGAGACAACAGAAGCCAGCTCTAGAAGAGCGTGAATCACTGCGTCCTCTTGTTCTATTGGCCTGCTTACTGATGCACTCGTCGAAACGGGGAGCAATATTAGATATCCCAGTGTCCGTATTCATGGGTCAGATCTCTGATCCATTGCGTTTTGCTAAATCATGCCCATCTTATGCCGTGAGTGGTTTGAATTCAACTGAAAAGATATTCGACCTTGGATAGCAATGCTTGCAGGAAAATAGGCGTGTTTCGAAAACATCAAAAGTACTGCACTGCGACAAAACAAAGCAATGTATGGGACCAAGATAGCCTCGAATTCAATGCCACTTATCTTCAGTTGGAATTTCTGTCATGCGTAAACGCGTTACCTTGAAGATGGCCACCATGATGAAATCGACACCAATGAACCAGACGTGTGGAACTACTGCAGTTCCAGCCAGAGTACTGGTTTATCCAGTTTCCTCAAATTATGAACAAGTGACCTTGGATCATATATTCGGACGTTAAGATACAATGTGGAACTTGCTGTCACAAGTTGGTAGAAGGGTGGACTAACGGAATCGAACAACGCATCAGTTGGAATCTAATCTATACAATAAAGAGCGAAGTGCTTCACACAGTTTCTTAGGCAAAATGACAGCGATATAGAAAATAATAATCGTTCAGCTGTGAGACCCTTTCGGTGGCTAGCTCCCATGCCACCTGAAGAAAGCACGAGGATTGAGTAATTGCTAAGTCACCCAAGCCTAGAGGGGACCAGTCATCGTACCGCAGCTGGGTTCGAACCACGGACCTCCCGTCTAGTGAATTCGCACCTCGACGACTAAGCTATCTTAAGCTCGATTCAATCGAAAACTGTTTCAAGGGAGTGCGACCATGTAGGTGAATCTTTGGTTTTGTCGCGCATAACTCCCACATTTCATTGCTTTTACAGCAGCTCCTCAAAGAAAGTGTGTTGTGAAGTCCGGATCTGTTTTCAGGTGTAAGTTATCACCTGGTCACAAACACCACTTCAATCTATCTTTCAAGACTGAAGTATTGAGTAAAAGCACAGATGGCCGTCCGATATTTCTCAGGTCCTTGCAGAACACTACACATGAGGTTGACGAAAACTCTTAGACAACCCAACACAGAGTTCTAGGCTTCCATCAACTGGGCGTCGTCCTCAAGTTTTCATCAGTCTTACTTCCTACTTGAGGGTCATGCTTACCTGATAAGCCCCAAGAAGGTCGAAACGGTGAGTGGGCTGGTGAAGAGTTCCTACTTCTCCCATAAGTAGTTTCATGCCGACAAACTTACTTTGATATATTGAATATCGTTCAAATGAAATATGGGGCTGCTTTTATCTAGCACACTCAGTTACCGAATACTATAAACGAGATACTCGGTCGAGTCTTGTCGAAGCCAGTCTAACTAACAAATGGGTTCGTCTCACCGACTACATAAAATATGATATTCAAGTAGAACATAAGGTGAATGGAAACCCGTGAACTACGCCCTCTCTGGTGAGCTGAAGAGGCCAAACCAGTAATGGACAGTTAGAGTTTTCAGCAACCCCATGAGTAGTGTGTCCTACCAAGAAAATATACACACATGATTGGAGTGCAATACGCTCTAAGATCTCACCTGGGATACATCCTTGAACGCTTGCGGAGCTGGACAACTTGCGCCGCTCTGTTTTAAGTTTGCGCCGGTCGTTTCCACTGTTTTACTCTTCGCAGATGTTTGTAATCGTTTACGAAGTTCCAATTGAGGGAGGATGAAAGATTGCAAAAAAATCTACAAGGGAGAGTAATCAGTCAGATCCACAGATGGGGTAGCCACCAAACTATGATAGAACAAATTATATTTTGTGGTTGGAAATTGGATGAAAACGGAGCATCGTATACTGAATTGGAAAACGCAGAGGGGAATTCTTTGGTTTAAGATCAGGGTTACGTCAAGAAATTCCACTTGCATGAAGATTTAGTCGAAGAGGATGAAATCGAGACGAGTATGAGGTAGTCAAGTTTTACTTCTGTGGACAACAAGTGATTTGAAGAAATACCGCTTACGAAATGGAAAAAATAAAATTGGGAAGTGCGGATCTATTTGGCTTATCTTTGGCTCAATCAGATAGGGATTATGGATAGGAACTGAGAGCGATAAACTTATTGCCATGGGCTGAAAGGCACGGACTTCGATTCAATGTCCAGAAACGGCCAAACGGGGTACAAAGGCTAGCAGAGTCACAAGCAGTGAGGATGATACTGTGAAGTGTGATAGGAAGACAGAATTGCTTCACACTTTCATGGTCTCAAAAAAAAACAATGCTCAGCTAAGTGCTGAAAGTTTACCTACCAGTGTGATTTTTTTACGGCCTTCAAAACATACGTATGCAAGTAGATTCTGACCTGACAGGAAGCAACGGGACAAAACAAACGGAACAGATAAGGCCACGCCCGAAGCGTACTCACCTGTTGCTTGCCTACTGCATAAAAATGTGGTGCATAGTGGAGGGCTGACAAGATCGCCTTTGCAAACTGCAGAGAAAAAAGCGAAGAGTCGACGGTCAGTTCACCCTGAAAACCCAATCCGATAAATTTCAAATAGCATGATGTAACAAACAGGCAAATAGAGTAGAGTGAGACATATCCGAACAAAGGCTAACACCCCGGAAGCCCTCGGCAGCCTTCCCCATCAGGCACACGCTAAAGTGTGATTCAAATGAATTGAGGCGCTCCGAAGGGAATAACTGTTTTTCCACTTTTTACAACGGAACTAGCCTAAATTCAACACTAACCTGTTCAGCAGAAAGTTGGGTGGATGCGAGTTCGGTGACCAATGACGCGTACCGACGACCGAATTTCCCCAAAGAGAGACGATCTGGATAAATTTTTCGAACTTCCCGTAGAAGCGATGTCAAATTTAACCCACGCAACTGAGCCCGAATGAGGTTCACGCAGATTCGTGCCGGACTCGGAAGAAGCGAAGGTTTGGAAGTTGTGTCATAACTAATGCGACCAGAGGAAAGTGGCCCGTCTCCTTCGGATGATAGTTGACAGAGTCCCGCATTGATTACGGGTAGGAGGCAATGAATCCAGTGAAGACCGGAAGGAGAACCACCGTCATTGAAACCGGAATCGGGTAGATGGGGATTGGGACTTACGTTTTTCGTAGCACACGCGTGGAGCAGTTTGGTCAAGAAGTCCTAAAAACATGTAGCCATACAAAGTGAAAAATGTATCAGGATAAGGTAAAAACGTGTTGCGGTGAAGATGTAAGACAAAGCATCCCTACGGAGTGACAGGTGGTTATCCCAATAGACAAGCTCACTAGGATCCGGAGAAAGCGGGCAAACGAACGATGCCCGGTACCAACCTCACAGTGCCAGATGCGAAGTGTGCGCTCGACTGTTGGTTAGCACTGTTGTTGAATCAATCAACCGGTAACAGTTGTTAACGACGGTTCCCTGCTAGTTCATTTTTCCTATTAAATCTTATCTGTAATGGAAATTCTTTGAATTCACGGGGTTCACCCATTCGCCATACATTGAAACTCATAATAAACAACGCGAACGAAAGCTCGCGCACTCCTCTGATTCACTGTTCACTTATTAAGGTGGGACTCGCTTTTCGAAAGTGACAGACCAAATTCCATTTTCGCATGATTATTGTAATTACACTGACGTCGCTATCAGAGAAAAGCCCCTCCCACAAATTCCACCTGTCTGCCATCTTCACCACCACTTACCAACTGCTGTTTTGCGTCCACAAAGACGCTCACATGCTCGGTCCATGTTGGTTTCGCATCACCCAAATAATCACGTTGGAACTGGAGAAGGGAAGCCAAACGTACAATGGACGATCTGAAACGTAGGAAGTCAGAAAAGTCCGCGTCAGATGGTGAACACATGACCTTGTTACTTAATCAATTAATTCTATTGAATGCTGCATGTCGGCAAACAATCACAGCTAACACACGAGGTACAAAAGATGCACCGACCTATGATGGATGGCAAGAAAGCCACGACTATCGAAACCGGAATTAGGACCAGAATTTATGTATTCAGAGTGGAATCACGAATGAGATTTGGACGAAAGGTGTCCCTGATAAAATGACCGTTATCTTCTCGTTTATTGCCACTCAACTTCCAAGTCATGCATCAACATTTGGATAAGACCACCAACACTGAAACAGTCCAGTGACCGGGACAGAAGTGGATGGCGGGCGAATACAGACTGCTTTAGTTCAAACCAATTTACAAGAGTTCGGCGGCCATGTAGCGGGTTGGTTCCAGTAGCTTTCACTAGGAGGAAACGTCGTATACATTCCATCTTTCTGTTGAGGAAATACCTTCACGGAACTACAAAGTGATTTGACAAGAAGGAATAAATATCACGGCTTCATTGGGGGAATGAAGTTTTGGTTCTATCCGAGGGAACAGCTGGCTGCGCAGAATATCTCAAAATCGTCATACTTCCCCGAAATGATGAACATGTGAAAGCCCCTTTTTTGAAAAATCACCAGGAATGAGTAACTGCTTGTCATATAAATAAGCTACACGAATGTCAACTTATCCTACGTAGATTTATTCTACGTAAAAGTTTTATTTTCTGTCCTCACTACGGCACATAAAGAGTAGAGTGTGACAACATTTAGGCTTGGACAGATGAGCGTTAGTGTAGATCCCGAAAACCCAGAAAAATTGAAAGTGAGAGAAGTTTCCAGGTGGCGAGCAGACCTATAGGTAGATGAGGTAGATGATGGTCCTTCTCAGAAACGAAGGACCGGAACTTAATAAGGGTACCTACAAGAACGCAGGCGAGTCAGGTGACTGGGTGAACATATCAGTAAGGCCGAATGGGCGAAGTCAGTGGGGCATCTACCTTACTGCTTGCCGTAAAGTGGTCAGCGCAGGACCGCATCCCGTCGCTGTGAGGTTTTCAGACTATTGATTATAATGGGAGCAAATAAAACAGCTTATTGTTGAATACTATCTGGGGATGTGGTACACATAAATTCCCACTCGCCTCAATGCGGCTGCCGCCCTAAATATGATATTAGTGTTTCATGGCACTTGAAGAGAAGATAATGTAAATAAAGAGCAGTTAGAGAAAGGAAATGGAGGCTTTTCAAGGCTTAGTTTGAAATTATTTCAAATTCAGGGACAAATGGAGAATGCTGAAAAAAAGAATAAGAGGTGAGCGGCTAGATAAGCAGGGGATAACGTTCGAACCAATAAAACGTGAGAGCTTGGGGGAAGAACGGCGGAGGGAAACTACAGCACAAGTACGGAAGAAAATAGGGAGATGCCGTCCGGATAAGGCGTTTTAGTGGTTACTAAAAGGCTTTAAGGAACGACCGTAGCTGAAATACTGGGTGGAAAAATACGGATTGGAGCTGCTAGATAGCACCAGTGGAGTTTGGTATTTGTGGAAAAAAACCCAAGCGACCACCATCGACGTCATTTAAGAATGACAACTAATAGTGCCTGGAAACGGGTGACCGAGACCAGTGGCTGTACAACAGGACAGAAGTACAACCAAATTTAAGAAACCTCAAGTGAAACGGCAATACATAGAAGAAATGGCAAAAACCACTCCGTTCGCCGATGAACGGAATAGTACTTCAACTTACGGCCCATGTCGTCGTAGCAATTGGTAGGCATTTAGCACAGCTGGGCAAAGATAACAGTTTGTAAGCCAGCGAGTGTCCACACCGTACTCGACAGGGAAAGTTGACAAGCTGTGGTTGAGGATGAATGAACCGGAACGTCGACAGCGACGAATCGAACGCAAATCTGAAAGAGGCAAGCTACCGATTTAGTGCGTCAGTCTGATTGATCTGATGAGTGGAAAAGAAAGAGCTCCAACGACCGGATAAGGCAGGACAAGACAAAACCAAATTAGTTTGAAAATGAGTGTATATTCGCTAATTTCATGCAATTTGGTTTCAAGTAGAACATAAGGTTGACGGAAACTCGGGGACTGCGCCCGTACGTGATGAGCCCCAAGAAGGGCGAAACCGGTCGTGGGCTGCCGAGGAGTTTTCAGCAACCTTATGAGTAGTGCATTAGAGGACAAGAATGCTTGACGATGAACACGAAAAGCATGAAACATTTCTGATGATCAGGATTATAGTGGTGTGATGTAGAGTGCCCCAAAATCTCTTCAACGAAAAACTCGAAATGCCATCGCAAAATAGATGTGAACAGAAAATTAGTTTCTGGCACGCAGGGATAGATCTTACCTCTGTTTTTTGTCAAATTTCTCTCCTTCTGATAGAGTTCTTCCAGTTTTTCTAGCAGTCCCTTCACATTGTCCGTTGGAGCAGCGTCTTCAATGAGCCAGAAAATGCCACGACTAGAGGGACTGTCTGCAGCTGGCTAGAGGATGAAGACATGCAGAACATGTGATTGGTTGTTAGCAGCGCATTGCTGTCGAAAAGTCAAAAACAAATGCAAAAGACGAGGGACAAAAACACGCGAAGGAAAATGGGGAATGGTGACAGCAAATCGACTAAACTCACAGTCTAGAATGGGGATAAATGGTGCAGCAACAGAAACTGGCAACTATCTCCGAGGCAATCGGGAACTGGCATCAAATTACCCACGCTGACCATGACGAAAAGGCGCAAACCCGTGCCTTTCTAGCGAGTTAGTCAGTCGGAATCGATTCAACACATGATAATTGGTTGATGGGCCATGGCCTATAGCCTTCTGAATGGGAGAGCCGGACAAACTTCACCTATGAACCCAAGCCAAACGACGGCACTCTGCATAGTCGTTTACGGTTCCATACGCCCTGTCAAATACTACTGTGAATAAAGCCTTGTTTGTTACATTTATAATTCGATAGGGAAATCAGCACATACGCATTCTTCACTGAAAGAGCAAAATTTATGATGTTGCGAACATGCGCGGTTGTGGCTGTAATCCCGAGTATCGAGTTAGATTCATTCCAATAAGGACTGTCTGACGTAGCCCTGATCTCCCTAGGATGTTGTTTACGATTAAACCGAAAGGTAGTCAGCTCTTCACATAATAGTGAGATGAACACAAACATGCTTTGTCCTACATGAGAGAATTTGGCTCGAACCCCGGCTAGGCTGCGATCAACCTAAATATGTGGGGTAACGACGAACTTGCTATCAATTCAACGCTATTTTCTCGTTAACGAAGCCTTATCGAGTTAACTTGCACCCACATGGTGAATTTTCTATAGGTCACGTGAACCGGTTCTGTATTTCTTTCAACATCAGGACAGAGTTGACTGGTAGTGCTCGAACACCCGCATTTTTCGCGCAATCCATGTGTATTGTCTGGTTGACTTCAAGGTCATCCAGTTGTCGATGCTGATTTGCTTTGTTCGTCATGCCGCCTGACTTGCTGTCTGAATGTGCAAACTATTCAGGCGATTAATCAAGCAACTGGAGTATCAGCTGAACGGTATCGCAGCTCCATTCGCTAGCAAGAGGACAGCAACTCCAAATAGATTGTCATCACAGAAATCCGAATGCCGACAGCTGACAGACCGAACTCGATAGAAGTCCTCAGGAGTGAATTCTGTTCCGTTAACCACGCGTCAATAGTTTAGGATATTTATGAGTCATTCCATAAGTGACATTCGGATTGCCCCATCCATTTCATCGCGGGAAATCAAGTTCAGCTATTACCCACGACCTTGATTTGTGTGGTCTCAATCGATAGCTACTTGTTTCACTAGGTTCGGACACACTTAAAGGCTTCGACTTTGTTTATCAGTTCCGGCTAGCTTAGGATGCATTGCTTCACGTTTGTTTTGACACGCTTTCATCAAAATAAGCGATCGCAGATGGCACGGTTTAGGGACAATAACTCATTGCTCGTTTCAAGGAGAACTGAGTGACGAGCACAGGAATCAGGGTTCACATCGAAGTACAAAATGCACACTCAGAAGCACGAACTATGCCTCAGATTTAGAAGGGGACAAAATCTTGACCTGTTCGGTTGATTGCTTCACATAACTAGCTAGCTTGCTACCTAGCTAGTTAACTAATGAACTAGGTGTACTACGAAAATGAAAAGTGTCACAGAATCAAAAGTCTTCTTTTGGACACAATTCCTAATGGACATCAGGTTCATGGGGAACTGAGAATAAAAAGCTGACAAGCGACCGTGCATAAAACTGCGTTGAAACAGGTAGTGTGTGTGTGTGTGAATAAAACTAACGCACTGATAACAGCATTTCGTGCACACAGACGAGGACCCATACACTGTACTGTCATTGATCGCGCCGCTCAGTGAAAATGTTTTTTCCGAGCATTCCGTTGAGTGCAGTATGAAGCGTATTTAAAAGACTCTGTGTGACTTCATACCAAAATTCATCAATTCGTGTCGTTTTTTCAAGAATTATCGTGCTATTGTGCGTTTTGTGATTTGTAAAACAATTGGACAGAGAGCCAGCATTTCACCCTCGATGCAACAGATTCATCAAGCTAGGTGAATAAGACTAAAGGTTGGTTAGGGGGAAACCCATGGTAGACATTTCTTCCTAAAATTGGATGATTACTGCATATTGCTGATATTTGCCATGAGTGAGTGCAACGAGTCAAATCAAGAACGTTAAGTTAGTGAGCATGTGAAGAGCAGTTCTAGATGAACCGAGCGGATCAATGACGAGGTTCCACCATCAAAGTTAAGAGAAACCACCAACCGAGGTGGTCCCAACAATATGACCTGCTGGCGACCAAAGTTCATTGCATTTTCCGATGTAATCTAGTTATAGTAACTTATGAACGCACTTTGTTAATACAAAGCTTGTAACCGACTAACCCTCAAGTCAACAATTAAGCTGACCCATTGTCAGAAATTTTATTGGTAAGATTTCCCCCTCTTAAGATTTGGGTAATTGTAATCCCATATTTTCCGAGAACTGGAATCCTGTACTCGGATTTCAAACCTCTTCTAGCAATACACTCATTTGCATATCAATTCGGTTTTCACGAGAGACTCAGCCGAGTGCTCACATTTATGATATTCCTCAACTGAATGTACTCCACAGAAACCACCTCGACATAACACTTTAGTTTTGACGGGTGACGCAGCTGAATCCCAGCCGAATCCTTCGTTTGTGATGTCCGTACTCAACTGAATGTGCTGCACCAGGCCACCTCATGTTTCAACATCCCATGACCGGTTTAGCCCTTCTTGGGGCTCCTCGGGTAGGTGCAGTACCCGAGTTTCCGTCAACCTCATGTTCTACTTGACCCCATATTGCACGCAATTCTAACGGTGTTGTTGTTGTCCATCCACTGTATTCCAAAGCATTAAGGCAAGTGAATTTACGGAAACGTACACTTGTACAATTGGGATCAGGTGAATTTAGGACTAAGGAAATCAATAATTGACTAATGTGCTCACAGACGCGACTGAGCTGTACAGATAATTTGACGACGACCTTTATTCTGTTAACTGAAGACTTGGCAACAACCCGTTACATGAGACAATGTAGAGGCTAGGCTAACAGATCCAGTTCGGGAGGATCCATTGCTGGAGCCCTGATTCTGATTGTCGACTCTGTCGGTCTGTATGCTGATATCCCGTTTGCTTTTCACGGTTTTTTTCACTCCTGGATGGGCGACAGAATGGGCGTCTGCTGAGTAGTTCAAGTGAAACAAGGTACACAATCGAGAGGACTGAATACGACTGCATACAGCCGTAAGAAGCTTCTTAAATTCAGTCATCAAAGTTGTGTGACTTGATCAAGGCCAGTTTCCAACACTGGATTGTACTACAAAAAAAACGATAAGGTAAGGTAACAAATAACGTCGATTTTGAAGACTTACGGAGCCGTCGAGCGTGCCCACAATATCCATCGGTTTGTCTTCAGCTTCGGCGTCATCAGGAACTGTGAGTCCATCCTAGGAGGAATGTGAGAAAGTTTCGCAGTTCGTGACCTTAAAGCTAGAGGTGGTTAGAACGGGTCAAGCGCACCGCTAGCAGACAAGTATCCAACTGACGGCCTTCCTCCTCAACTCAAAGCTCAGTTGAGTTTTTCAGCTAACAAACTGTGCAACGAAATGCAGTGGTTCCAGCTGCAGCAGCTTCGTTCACCAAGGATAGGGAGAGTGGGAGAATGAGAGCCACGCATTGCAGGCGATGGTTCGCTTAGTTCATCATCCAGGTTGTGAATGCTTCTCAATAGGCTACTGTTGTCTGTTATACCTTTCAGAACTAATTTTATAGAGGCTGTATGGACATGCTACACAGAAAATGGGTAAAAATCACCCCCCTGAATAGCTATCCTTATTTCTTTGTTAGTCCTCAAAAAGAGTGGAAGTGTTGGACTAGAGTAACACTTCCATAAGGGCTAATCAGCAGTGTGCATTCTTAACCAGAACGACCGTGTTGTTACTAAGCCACCAACGTCCCTCACACCTGAACCGGCGAATGTGATCGTGCTCAAGCGCTACCGTCACTGTAACACAATAATCAACAAGCGATGGGAACTGTGTCGAATTGAGTGACGCAAAAGATATCCTTACCGCCCTCATCATTGACTTGCACAGCTCCACACCAGTCTGGTGAGACAACGCAGCAAGACGCTCATTGGCGTAATTGATCAACAAGTCGGCATAGCTACCCAAAGCGGGTGAAGTTAAGGGACCACATCGAGGGTTAGGCGAGGGAGCTTGTAAGCCTGGCGGATCACAAATCACCAACTGAGCACAAACTCGAGTCGAAGTTGTTCGATTGTGGGATGCTGAAGACTCGGAAGAGAGGCATCTGCTCAAAAACAACGGGGGAGGCATTGGTCACAAGTCACATTTAATTTGGTCAACTCAGTACAAGTCCAAAAAAAGTCGCGTCTAAAGAAGTCATTGGCAACGATATTCTTTTCCTGAGCTCAGTAAATACACGAAGTGAGGAGGGTTGAAGGCAACCTAGAAGACCGATAAGAGTAAAGTCATCAATCAGATCGCTGAATGGTTGCCGATAAGAGTCATCCTGAACGGTGATTTTGAATAAACCTGCGCCCATCAATTAAAACCGTTCCCTATTCGCAAGAACTAGCATACCATGCAATGTTGGCTCAAAGGATTTGGGGTATCACATTTAACTGATACCAGGGCGTGATGCGTCACGCCATGAGGAAATATAGTACTATGATAGGTCATTTCAGTAGTTGGTGAGCATATTGGTTAATCGCAGGACACTCCACAAGTTTGAGTGGCTTGCTACGTTTACTAGTTGACATGAGATGACGTTCAGTTAACACAAGTCAGGCACGGTCGAACTCTCTTACGAGGCTGTGCCATCCGAACGAACTCCGGTAAGCTAGTTGTAGTGTACAAGGTCAGTGATAGTCCAATTCACAAAGCACTATTTTTGGAGAAATTTGGAGGAATATCATAAAGTACCTATGCTCCAACTGGTGGTTATCGGTGTATACACAACAGTGAGCAGCGCCATTGACTTTGGACTTTATAAAAAGAGATATGTAAGGGAGAATATTGTAGCTGTGAGGAAGACGTAAGGGAGAATATTGTAGCTGTGAGGAAGAGGGGAATACATTCTTTAAGTATTATCAGGTGATTGCGACGAGACTGGCCCAAAGTGATCACTCATGGGGCATTGGTCACTGGAGAAGGGTTTCACTATGTACATTCGCCGTCTTCATCCCATCCTCATGGACGTATCAACCAGAGAGACTGACCCATATCTGGAAAAGTTTGGAGACTCTAGCTGCACATCATTTTCTTTGTGTGATCAAGAAACCCGAATACGACTAACGAAGGATAAAGAACGGCACACAGGTCCCAAGAATCTGGAAAGGGCGAAAAAATGTCTGCTTCAACTAGTAAGAGTTCTCGAAAAAATGGACAGTCCTGGCTCAATTAGCATCCAATCGCCAATTATTTACAAGATCCGATTTGATATCTCAGTTGACTACAATTGTCTTTTCATTGTGTTCGATATTTGTAGAATCATTCTGCCTCATTCTGGTTATTCACTTTTTTAAACCACCGAAACCAGTGGAACAAGTAAAAAAGATCTATGCCATAGACGTAATGCACTACTCGTAAGCTTGCTGAGAGTTTTTCGACAGCACACGACCGGTTTCGCCCTTCTTGGGGGCTCATCAGGTAGGCGCAGTACCCGAGTTTCCGTCAACCTTATGTTCTATTTGGGCACAAATTGCATGAAATTTGATCTACACACTGATCTGCATAGCAATTTGGTTTTGAAGGAAGACTCATCTGAAACCCAGCTGTATCTCTTGTTTATGATGATTTTCAGCAACTGAATGTGCTCCACAATTATTCACAGAAGAAACAAGGTTTCTGCTAATGAGCGTAGTGGCACCAACATGACAGACTGGTTTCGAACTGACGTCACTGCACATCGAAAGTAAGACCAAGCCTCAACTTGTCACTGTTCTGGGTATCACTTGGCATTCCTTTTCCTCCAAACAACACAAACATGTGGCATAACCTGCCGAAACATGAACAGATGCCAGTATGACAAGTTTTCGGATCATGTTACTGACAGTCAGGTGAGGTACATTAGACAAAAGGCAATCGCATCGTGGTCACAATTTGCAGGAGAGGGATGACGAGGGTGCACCGCAGGCAACTACACGTGAGGAGATTTGGATCAGGAAGTTTCGGAAAGAAGTCGAAACCTCACCAATCTGGTCAATGGTGTAAAAACCCTTTATTCAACGACCTACGGTGAGAAGTAAGGCAATTAGTTGGAGCAGAAAAAAAGAAATCCGTCAAGTTTTTGCACCTCGATCCATACATATAAAGCAGTGCAAGCTGTTGAAACACCAGCAGGGTGAAGCTGCTCGATAACATCTGCTGCAAGTTATCTTTCCGAATTCTAAGTTCCCAGGATCTTCAGCTAAATTTCACTCCTGTTTAGTGATTCGGATTTTGGAAGTGCGCTCACCATCAGGTTAAATTTTTTTCGCACTCCCGTTATCTGATTGTGAGCACGAAAAAAGGCCGGAAATTATGAGTTAAGAGTTTGAAAATCTGGTTCAGAATACCAGAAATACGAAGAGAGCCCGTTTCCAGAAAGACAAGGCGACGCTGACCTCCAGATGAACCAGTAATCCAGGTGTCCGTTGACAGAACCGATTGATGTTAGGAAGACAACTAACCATGTCTCAATGTGTCTCCACAAATCAAAGTTGACGGCGGCAAGCTGTTTGGTACAAACGTGAAGTTTGTCATACTAAACAATGCTGTCCCTTTGCACGCTGTTCAAAAAACACGTCCTGATGTGGAGCGCTGTTGTTCCGACAAACGACTGTTTGGTGGCGGCCTTATTCTGTGCTTCAAACGAACCCAGTGACAAGATTTCTGGCGAGTATACGTGTGCACTTTGTGGAATGTCAACTAATGTCACATGTTGAGCGAAGAATGGATGGTGAACTTAGCGAAATACACAAATTTGGTTTTGCGAGAGACTCGCCTGGAACCCAGCTGAATATCTCGTTTGTGATTTGAAGAAGTTTCAGCAACCTTATGAGTAGTGCATTACGAATACGGATGGTGAGCTTCGCCGAGGATTCAACACGCACCAGTCCTGAGCATTCTAGCTCGAGCAATATGATTGAGTAATATATAGGGAACAAGGTACGTGCATCGCTGCTAGTAGGACGGAACACCGGATGCTGAAGTGCAAGTACCAAATGGATGAAGTCATTGAAGTGATTCCGTCAAAATCCTCACATGGGCAAAGCGCCTCAAAAAGTAGGTATCAGTACAGGGCTATTGGGATAGGTAACGTCACAGTATGAATGGGATCAAGAAGCTTACCGGTTGATTAGCATGAGGAGGATATCCACGGTGGTCTGATAGAGACCCTGGATAAAAGCCCGAAGACTATCCATCGCCGTGCGACCAGCCTGTTCCGGGATACCGAACACGGCTGTAGTCAGGTAATCCAGTGGGCATCCTAATAGGTAGGCTGCACGATGTGCCGATTCTAGATTCAGGAACCCGGGGATGTGTGGTGGACACTCTGGGTCATTCGCGCATACGCTGTTGCATGACTGTTTGTTGTCGACACAACCAGCACATCCCAAATGGTAGATTACCGCCAAAAGTCGACTAATCCCACCGGTCAGCCATTCTTTCTCCAGATCAAAATCAAGAAGCTGAGCATCTGTACATAGCTGAGACCACTGGTGTTGTGCGGCCTCCTTGTCTTCAGTCTGAAATCAGAGCAAAGGGAGCAGTGATTGTGGGGATTTGGAGTGAGAAAGAAGATTGAACCAATCCATACTAAGCTGTTACCTTCGTAGTACTCCTGGGAAGTGATTCCCAGAAAGTGAACACTTAGAAAGATGAGTGAGTGCACTGTGGGTAACTCTAACTGTAGGCGAGGACAATAGGCAAGTTATGAATGTGTGTGAGAGTATGAAACTTTGTGCCTACGTTACTTTGAGAATGGTAGCACAAAGGTCGTCATAATGGGACGTCGTATGCCAATAGATATCCCAACACTTCCGTCATGGCGATTTATCACACGATACAAGAAAAGCTTCATTATAGGTGCAGAATATGTGTTGTCCTGAAAAGCAGTCCACAACCCGTTTCATCCCGATTTGCATCCATTAGATGGATGTGGTCGCATCACACGGTAGTCGACGGTTGTTCTGTAACGTAAGACGACCGGCGACAACACCTGTGCACAAGGCGAATATGAACGCAAATAGTGGAAGAATTTTTGCCTAAATGATAGGAGACCGATCGTGTTAAGCTCATGTGGTGGATACCAATAGGAACTAGAGCCGAAGATCGTTTTATGGGACGGGAAGTGTAAGTCCCAGACTCACGTGAGCGAGTGGAAATGGCTGAGCTGATCTTCTTTTCACGCTATGGGCGTTCGGTCTTCTCATTTCAAACTCTAATGGAGCCCGTCTACTTCCTGGGCGAAATCACTAGTTAGCCGGCTATGGAAGACACACAAGGGGATTACTCATGTAACTGTCATAAATCAAGTGGTAATCCGTCAGGGTGTGGCGAATTCTGTGCAGAAGTGTCACAAAGGGAGAGCATCTGTGGTAGCTAAGTTGGTGGAGTACACGTCCCGTAACCCGATAGCTCTTGTTCATCCCCGGCTTGGGTGTAGCCAGCCCCAAGGTTCAATTCCCACCGAGTGGCGATAATCATCCGAGATAGCCACGTTACAGCTTTACAAATCACACCTCCAAATTCATGTCTCACACACTTGACGGTTGTAGCATCCTCTAGCAGGATGGTGAAAAGTTAGCAAAATACACTTGGTTGTCTTTACTTAATCGGGTTTCTTGAAAACACATGCATAAGCTGAACCAAATAGTTGAAACTCATAGGAACTTACTCGGTGAAGCTTGGTCATGAACAAGTTGGGTTCATCCAGATCGGTGAGGAACAATTCTCGCCTGTAATTCAAATACATAATGCAGCCCTCGTAAGTAATATTATTGCATTGGGAGGCACTTTTTATCCGTCACTGCATGGGGATGTCAAGAGAATAGCGACGCACAGTTGACCTCTATAACTTTGTAAAGTCAGGCTAGCATGACACCATGACATTGTTCCAATTACTTGATATGGTCGTGACGGTTTGTGGATCGTTTACAGACCGTGACCATAGTGCGGTTGTCGTGACCCCGAAGTCTATCCGATTTGACGACCCCCCCAAATGCATGGGGATGTCAAGAGAATAGCGACGCACAGTTGACCTCTATAACTTTGTAAAGTCAGGCTAGCATGACACCATGACATTGTTCCAATTACTTGATATGGTCGTGACGGTTTGTGGATCGTTTACAGACCGTGACCATAGTGCGGTTGTCGTGACCCCGAAGTCTATCCGATTTGACGCCCCCCCCCCAAATCGGTTCGAACTGGCCTATAGGGTATCCGTGGCATGCTCACTCCCGTATCACTCCCTAATCGTCATAAGCCAGTACATCAGAACGAAGATCAAGCAGGGTTCGTAGACGAGAGACCAGCATACTGTGGTCACGAGCAGCGCATACTGTGTCCTCGTAGGAAACGTATGACTGACTGTCCAAGTTCGGGACCATTTCTTCTTGGTGGATGCCAAATATCTCGGCTGCAAGAGTGAATCGTTGATGCACAGCTAATCAGAGCATCTTGAAGGCCACAACAAACAAGCCACATAGGTGACGCATTTGAACAGTGCTCACCTGCCTTCCTTAAAGACCGGAGTGATCCTCGGGAAGCCCATTCTAGAAGTGCTTTTCCCACCCTATAACCATCAATAAGTATGCCAAGACTCCGGCTGTTTGAAGAAGATTGTGTACACTCCGTCAGGACCTGTTTTTTGCGTTTTGAAAGGACTATTTCACATTTACTTTCTTATAATGGATGATTTCGGTTAAAATTTCATTGAATTCTTTGCCTTATCTTCCAAGATGCAGCTGCTATTTGGTCGTGTCGGTCAGGCTTGTGTACTACTGGGCCATGTTGACCGGAATAGTTATACTTTAGGGCTGGGAGCAGCGGACCCTCGTGGTACGAGTAACCACATTACGACGTGGCTTGAGTAAAATCGAACCGCTCACAGCGCCAGCAGAATGTCAGCAATAAGATGTTTTAGCTAGACGACCAGAAGCTCCACATTTGTAAAAGGAACAATGCTATTTCCCCTGAAGAAGGATACACGACTTAAAAACATGCATTTCAATCGCCCCACCGTTGGCATATTGATTGATTAATTCTAAAGATCAAGAGGGTGGTGAGGCGCGAAACGCACCTGTTGCGCGTGGCAGCTCTAGGCTTATCCGGAGTAGCATTTCCAGCTCCGTGCAAAACGTTTGTGTAATCGTGACGATGTGCAGACATTCATTGACAGGTAAATACGATTTGGATGCCAGCTAACCACTCTCTCCAAAGGGTTTGTTGCAGGAGGTTAGCCAAATTTCTGCTCAAAGTGTTCCACTCATCATCCCAGTAGGTGACTTTACAAATGAGTTACCAGCCAGTCTTTTTAACTTATCGTGTCGCTGACAGTCGACACACTCTGATCAGTCAACTCAACGGGAAGCACAGAACCACAGAAGCACAGGAGCAAGAACCTTTTCCGTCTCCTGATCCACTAGAGTTCTGTCTTTACCCGGACTCTTCACTATTCAGTGTTTTAGGGATATGCATGCGCCGTCACAGCCATTTCCTCCTGGATTCGTATGGTGACAGCTAGTGATCGGTTGGTCATACGGGAGAAGCAGGATAGGGAGCTTTGAACTAAGCGAGTTTAGCTCCTACATCTGGCCATGCTTTTATCACGTACGCAGTACTTGTATTGTGTTGGTTCAACACAAAGAGTATTTGGGTTAGCTCAGATCGATAACCTTGGAATGGGGAAGTTCTTCAAAGATGACGTATTTGCACGTCCTGTCGATCTACGGGTTCATATGGGAGAGCGGCTTATCAGGAAGAATTCCCGCGAAAAGTGCCAAAATGGATATCCAAGAATGAAAGGCCTATTAAATTGTACCTCCCTATCAGTAACTGACAGATGGGTGGCTAATATGAAACCACAGTTGTTTTCGTTTTGTGGCCTTCAAGTCTTAGTGTGGAGAATTGGTGCTGATCGGGAACAACTGGACAATTCGTTCCTCGTTGTCTTTGCACCTAGTACCGATTGCGAACCAACCACCCAGACGCGATCCTACGGAACTCAGTTGACTAATTTGGGCATCCACACCACCCACAAGGAGAAGAATGTCATTACTTCTTGTCTGACGAATCAGTCTGGATAGATCTTGTTGGAAAGGGTATTTTGATTGCTTTCCGTGGGAGTGGGTTGGATGGGGATCTAATGGTTCGCTGATGTTTGTAAGAGCTGGAGACAGAAATCAGTGAACAAAGAGCTGTGAGGTCAAATGATACTCCTCGTTTTTTTCAGACCTAGAAGGAAGGTCTGGTTGCGGTAGCCTACAGTGAACTTTCGGTTCGAGAGTCCGACACATGAGGGAGTAGAGGTAGAAGGGCCATAAGTCTGCTATCTGACTGAAAAGTGTGAACTACAGGGTAACGGTTTGGAGAGTTTTATTGAGGTATTCTGCTCAGTCTGTGGGAAGCTGGCCTAGTCCAAGAACACACGACACTTGGTGATAGGCGGCATAGTTGAGACCATCCCAGGTTCTTGATATGAGTTATTATTCTTCCGACCATACTTGACAGTACGTCAGCGGTCACGGTCCAGTGTGAGGAACCAGAATGGGCGTTTTCCAGGACAGGTGTTTTTCCAATCCCGTTGCTACATGAAGAAAAAAGCTACTTTTATACATATGAGAAAGTTGGATGCTATCTTCGCACTCCAACTGCAGCGAGTGTACTTTACCAGTAGACTGCTTTGTGAAACAAATGGTCGCAATACAGTGGTCAGAAGTCGCCTTCTGGGGTGAGTGAACCCTAAGGAACGGCGTCCCGGCCACTATAGCTCTGTATTGCACGACCATGGTGGCACGCACCATTGGACCAAGGGTTTGGGGCAATCCAATCTTTCGTAGACATTTTGGACGACTGGAAACGATTGAGAAACTTTTTTAACAGTGGTGACAGCTTCGTGTACGCTCTTCTTACAGGGTTGATCAATACCAACCCCTGGCAACAAACCACACAGATTGAGCCAATGAATAAGGGAGCATGAGCGAATCCAAATATTTTATAAACTGCTTCCATTTTAAAAAGTAGCCTTTTACAAGCAGCGTGGAGCTCAGAGGACTTTGGAGGTCATAATTTGACACTTCTCATGAGCACGAACAGAGAAAGATCGGGTTGGTAATATGCACCAATGGCTAGACGGAGTTCGTGTCCGTTCACAAGCGACAATATTTCCAGGGTAATCGTCATTATCCTCATGTTGACTCGGATGTCATTCCAGAAAATGGGGTTCTTTCGTACTGGATTTAGGAGTTGCACGAAAACTAGCGTGATCATAAACAACCCACTCACCGATTGAATTATCAGGCTTCGGCAAACCGACAGTAGGCAGGGCACACTGCACTTTTGTGTACCGACTTTGGAATATGCTGGGCAAATGCTGTGGAAGACTTTTACTTGAGTAGTCTTTCATTCCTGAAACACTGACCCCCCGGTGAAAGAAAGAGCTACTGTCCAGTTGACCAAAAGAGTTTGATGAAACTAACTAATGAGGATGAAGCCCCCATGCACTGCTCTTTTTGTCTTCGTCGCTTTGCAATAGCAACATGAAAAACGGACGAGTAAACGAAGGGCCTAATGAGTTCCGAATTATGCTATGAAATCTGATCAATAATTCAGAATGCTTATGCACATAAGACCTACTAGCACTCAGAGGGTACGCGGCCAAAGTAAGTGGATCAACGACTAACATAGTGTTGACCACCGTTAACAGTTTTTTTTCCCACACATACAGAACAAAACGAAATGGAAAGCGCAAAACTGTGACAGACCTGGATGTGGAATCCAAACCAGCTAGGAAGTAGTAGAAAATGTGGAAGTTGGGCTCGCCTTCGGGACGTTCCGTGACGCGTGTTCGATCGAACAATAGCAATCGAGTGGTTAGGCCGGATATGACTAAGCGCGAGTCTCCAGATGAGGCGTTGTTCGCGGTCGACTTGATATCAGTAAACTCGACTGAGAACAGGCGGATGGTTCTACTGGCGTTGGTGTTGAGTAAAATGCGGGAACTGGTGAATGCATCCAACAAAGAGAAAAGCGCTCGTAGTCGTTCAGCTAGTTGGGGGAGGGGCGTGAGCGAGCAAAGGATAACAATCAGAATATGAGCGGGGATGGGAGAAGTAAAGAGAGTAACTAACCCACTCTATTTGAGATTGGTTCACCATAGGGTTTGTGAAAATACAGGCTAGACTTGACACAATAGCGGACCAAATGCTTGCTCGTCCTTCCGCCTTTTCTGTTCGTTTAATGGAAGTACTCACTGGCTTCGATGAGCGACCTTGAATCTAAGTCCGGGTGTGCTTAAAGTTGGGCGACTCAAACGTAACCAAAGTAAAGACCTTTCCGAAGATGCGGTTACCCGGGGGAGTATAGAACCGTGCTTTCTATCAAAGACTATGTGTGTAATTCCCTTGAAAACAGACTACCTCTTGACAGAGGTGAAGGACCCAGGTCCGAAAGGGGGTCCATTCTGTAGGAAAGATTGCAACCCGGTTCACTTCTTCATGCTTTTCGAGGTTACTGTATGAACCGATGTAATATCATTGGTGTTTAGTAACAACCCAACAACGCATTGAAAATGTCTCCCCGAAAGGTGACGAAACGTCTGCAAGTCAAGCTCGGCGAGCGGATCAACAGTCACCGGACCATTGGTTATGCACACTTCCAAAAACGATCACGAAACCATGCAGTGGTTCACCTGGAAGGCATCGTATTTTGATTCCTTGACACAAGACAATCCTACCAACCAGGCCTTGAACGAAATGCTGTCCATACATTCCAAGTTGGCACGAATACATGTCTCGGTCTGACAGAAAAACTGGAGTTCTCCCGTCTGTATACAAACTCTGGTTACAAAAGCAAACAGGAACTAATATGCCTGACTCCGAACTCCAATTCATCAGCGCACGATTCATGTAATGTCATGTGATGTGTAACTTCAGTGATTGGCTGCTTGTCACATATCGTCAGAAAGTACGAAGACGTCATCCACCATAGTATGAGGTAGTCGGATTATCGCTATCACATCATCCACAGAAATGCTATTCAAAGTGTGCCAATCAAGGGGCTGATATGTGGAAATACATACCTCGAAATAAAGCTGAGGACTGGTGATTATCGCATACTGGTTGAAGAGTTGCTTGCAAAAGCTGAGGACTGGTGATTATCGCATACTTGAAGTGGTTGAAGAGTTGCTTGCCAGAAAAGACACGTGTGCTTAGTTTTCAGTCCCGAAAAACTGATGGATGACTAGGATGAGAGTGGAGAGCACGTAGCTCTTTGGCCGGGAAATCCATATGCAAATACGAATCACAAAAATTAACAGGTAAAGAGAAAAAATACTCACCGGTTATCCGAGGACGAGTAAAATTAAGCGGAATTTGTCCATCTGTTTGGAAATTCGCTGCCATAACCCGATTAGATTGGTTGAGCAAATAAGACATTAGATCCAACGAGGCTCTCGATTTCCCCGAGCCAGATCTGCCTGAAAAACAGATGGCTTGACGGAACACGGACTCTGGAAACCCGCTGCAGGTTGAAGTCCCCGTTTGGGCCGAATAGCCGTTGACTGCGCCCTTGGAAGCAGCGTGCGAATGTGTTGCAGCGATGGCGGCAGAACGGTTGAGGCGGGCTAGCGCTAACTGAGCAATGGAAAATATGTGCGGAGGCATGTCGCGTCGGTTTTGACAGCCAGAAAACAAGTCCATCACCTAAAAAGAGACAGGAGTATGACCATGAGTGGCCGTAAACAGTTCATTATGATGAGAGGACAGATGTAGAATACAAAATGGATACGGGTGAGTTAAGTGGTTTAATCGCGGCTACTATTGTTCCTGTAGACCAGACTAAATAAATTATTTAGTCTTAGTATTGTGGTCAGCGACCTAATCGTACGAGAATAATCGACTGTATAACCAGTTCGTACATCACAGTCTGAGTAAACTTACAGAAAAAGTTAAAAAATCATCTTTGAAAAACTCGGGTTCGGGTCTTGTTGCTAACTAACTGACCCTGTCGTGTTTCGTCAAAAGCAAAGATAAACAGACACCCGTTAGCACGCGTTTATTAGGATAAGGATCAAAGATACCCTCTATACTTGGTTTCAGAATTACTGTAGGATTGCTGGGCGACGGGATAGTTTCAACATCACATTACCAATTAGCAGTCTAAAACCCCATTGAACACTGCAGAACCGGCTTCTTTTTAAGGGAACACAGCGGAAGGAGGTCATATCTGGATGGCTTTCGGTTTACTTACCGCCTCCGAGTAGATGTTCAGACGAGTCATCGGATTGATCGTTAGTAAGTACGAACCAGAAGCGTATGTGCATACTTGACCAGAACCGAAACGTTGAATCAGTGTATGCGTAAGGCTGCATTCGTTTAGATACCGTAAGTCAGCCACGTCTTCGATATGGTCAAATGTAGCGGGATTGGACTAA